GATCACCACGGCCGAAGAGCTAACAAACAAAGGACTAGGAGCCGCAGCGTTGCTACTGAACAAACAGATAGCGGCTTTTTCTAAGGAGGAGGTGTACAATGAGGTTGAGAATTGGGGAGGGAATCCGAAGATTCGTTACTTGGATTATGATAACGGGATGATGATGTACACTGGAGGGTCGCCGAGGTTTGATGTGTTTGGGTGTGATTTTGGATGGGGACGTCCGGTGGCGATGAGGACCGGGAGGTGGAACGTGGCGGAGGGGACCGTCGGGGTTTATCTGGGGGCGGAGGAGGGGAGTTTGGAGTTGGACGTGCATTTGGCGAAGGAGACTATGAGCGCTTTGTTGAAGGATGAGGAGTTTATGAAGACCGTGTGTTTGAGTCCACATTAGTTTTCCGTAGCTTTGAGGTGACCCCGTTGCTTAAGGGGGAGATTGAGGTTTAGTGTACGCTTGTTGTTAAATGTTGAACTTATGTATGTTTGGATTCATCTAAATAATGCATCTTCTCGTATGCAGTCGTGAACTTCTTAGTTGAACTCATATGTAAGTTTAAAGCAAGTATTATAAATCATCTGATTTCAATACCTAGTTAAATTTCTTAGTTAACATCAATTATCTATTTCACCGTCTGGAGCTGCCCAGTTCCTAGTTTAATTTCTTAGTTAACATCAATCATCCATTTCATCCTCATGGAGCTTGCGCCCCATTGCGTCTAGGTAGGAAAGTTCATAGAATGATCTACAATTAATTAGGTGTCTAATGTTAGAAAATCACTGCAAATAATCAGAAAGTATTCAAAAACAAGTTGGAAAGACAAGCCTGAGAAAGGGGTAATCGTGCGATCACTGCCCTAGAACAATAGTCGCCGTCTTCGTAGAGGCAATTCGATGCGACCACGCCTAACGGTAAGAAACCCCCCGAGAAAGCCGGCACCAAAGTTTACTGCGAACTTTGGTCTCTTGCTTAATGGATGTTTGCCTAAAAATTAAAACTAGAAATCAAATTGTAGAGAATTATGAGAGAGAGAGAGAGAGAGAGAGAGAGAGAGAGAGAATAGAGATTGCTCACTTTCCTTATGTTTTTTATCCTTCATCGAGATCCCCTTTTGTAGCTATCTTGATTGTCCCGTTGAGATAATCGCTACCATCAAGGAGGAGGAAGTTACGCTTGTTGATGAGGCCGGAGAGGATGTCGACATTGCCACCATATGGGGAAGTTCCGCTCGGAGGAAAGAGGAGAGAACGAAGTAATCAGGTATTAATTAGGAGAAATGGAACATAGAGAAGAAGATAAGGAAAGAAATAAATATTATGCAAATACACCCCTCAAAAGATCATATTTGCATTAAGGAAGAAACTTAATCTTTTATTAATTCCAACAATCCTCCCCAAAAAATTGAGTTTTGGTGAATAAAAGAAGAAAGAAGGGAAAAACGACAATAATAACAATGGTAACAAAATATAGGCCAGGCAACCTCATATTGTGAATTCAACAAAGATAGCTTTCGGCTTTGAATCTTTGCTTAGTGACATTTGTCGCAATCTGAGGGACATAATGGATTAAACCTTGAATTGGGACCCTTGATAAAAAAAATTAACAAAAAGCACACATAATATGCATCCATTTATTGAGTGAGCGGGTCGGAGCGATAATGGTCATGCTTACAATAACCCTCTCATGAGAGTTACTAGGAATCAGCCTCATGTCCTCAACCGCGGCCTTTACGGTTCCTCTCACGTAGGTAAGTCCTCCAATGATACTGTGACTGGATACCCCACAAGGGTTAGACTTATTAAGAGTAGAACTCATCCTGACCAGTCACATCATAAGAGCACTGTCACCATAGGAATGAGGGAGTAGCTAACATGGTGCTAGTCATAAATGCATACAACACTACAAAAAGGAGTATAACTCCGAAGGTCAGTGCTCCACACGAGATCACCAATCCAGCTTGTTTCTATCACATTGAACCTTTTTCATGAGAATAACTCATCAATCAAAGGTTAGGTTCCCGCTATCAGTGAACTCTACTATGGGCTTAACCTCATTTCCCTCAATGATTCTAGGATTGCACTCCAAGATAGACCCTTTGTCAAGTGGTCTGCCAAAATTTTCTCTGACTTTACAAAGTCCAATGCAACATATTTTCCCATAAGGTTTTGCACAAATTTAAATCTTATCTGCAGATGTATGTTCAACTTTTATTGATGGTATTTTGTTTTAAAAGTTCTATAGTGGATCTGGAGTCTGTGTGAATAGATAAAGGAGGAATAGGTCCAGACACAAAAGGGAGCTTAGATATAAGGTTCTTCAACCATTCATCTTCTGAGCAACAAGAATCTAAAGCTATAAGTTCAGACTTCATGGTGCTTCTGGCAATCACTGTTTGCTTACAAGACTTCCAGGATATATCAGCACCGCCATATCAGCACCGCCAAACATAAAAACAAATCCAGAAGTAGATTTCAGACTTCACATTATCAGAATTAGTGACCCACTTAGCATCACTATACCCTTCAATCACATCAGAGTATCTAGTATAAGTTAAACAATAGGCTGTTGTACCTCTCAAATATCTAAAGACTCTTTCTAATGCATTCTAGTGTTCCTTACTTGGGTTACTATTGCATCTACTTAGTCTACAGTTAAAACCCAAGTGATTCTCTCTCTCTCTCTTAAGTTATAACTTATAAGTATATACAATATATTTACATATAATATATGCATATATAATATATAGCTATATAATAATATGTAAGTATATACTAATACATACTTATATAAACTAGTATAGTGCACGTACGTTGCACGTGGACATATTTGTTTTATGTTCTAATACTTTACACAATTTATATTTAATTAATGGAAGAGTTTCATTTTGAATGTAATTATAACAATATTTGAGGACTTATTTGTAATTTTCTTATAATTTAGATCATATACTTCTTTCAATCTTCTTAAGATTTAAGTTTTGAACTATATAGGGTTTTATCTGTAAAAAATTATGAAGTTTTAGTATTTTTCTATAAATATATAAAATTTCAATGGTGTTTGTGAAAATTATGAAGATCCATGGTTGTTTGTGAAAAAATTCAGGGTTATTTTATGAACATTGGCAAATCATGGAATACCCAAAAGATACAATTTTTTTTAATCTTAAAAGACATAGTTCTATTTACTTTATAATTTAAGATAATGAATGGCAAATTTAGAATATAGTTTTAACATTAGGGAGGTTATAATATACTTATTATATAAAAAAAATTACCAAAAAGACAAAAATTCCAAGTTTGTTCTTTACTTTTATGTTAAGTGTGTCATGTTATTCCAGTTTATATTAATTATCTTTATTTTTGCTAATCCATTATAACAAAATAAAATTCTCACTTTCACCTTCTCTCTCTCCTATTATCATATAATTAGTAACATGCTACAAAAAATATATCTACTAAGTTCATGGATAATACAATATTTCTCTCAAATCACAATTAAGTACATAGTAATAATTATAGAAATAGAAAAAAAAAGTTCATTAAAACCCCCTAAATTAGACCTCAAATTTTAGCTTCAATCCGAATTCTTCACATTTCCTTGTATCAATCGTATCCTCAATCCGCATATAGCCGTCAATCTAACAATCACATCAGTATAAAGTATAATCCGAGTAAAGCTCAGTACTTCCTCAGTACAACTTCAATCGTCTTCACCCCCCTTTGTTGTTATCTCTTCTGAAGGGATAATGTCTTCACTGGCGAGCTTGTATCATCCAAATAATATCATAGTAAAGCCATAGGGTGAGTATAGGATGTTGTTAGGTTTGTAAGAGGTGAGTGTAAATCTAAATCATCAAATGAGTGAATTTATATAGCTAGCTTGCAAGTAAGGGCTATTATGATAAATAAAAAAAATAGGCTCTTTGGATCCGTAACAGTCAAATGTAATTGCCACTTAAATAAAAATTACAATTGAAAATATAACTCTCATTTCAAGTATGCATGAACGCATGCACTAATGGCATTTTAAGTTAATACTTTGTTTGCAAATTGAAACGTATATTATTAGTTTGTCAAATGTGCGTTTTAAGTGGAGGGGTTACAAAAAATAGAAGTTAATATTAATGGACAATTAATAGGAGAGTTATGCCATTATTAAGAATGTATGCATGTAAGCATTTTAAGTTGACACTTTGTTTGCAAATTGAAACGTATATTATTAGTTTGTCATATGTGTGTGCATTCAATTCTCAGCTATTATGTCAAATACAACTTACAATCTTAAAAAAATTATGATAATATTAATATTGGATTAGTGGAGGGGTTACAAAAAATAGAAGTTAATATTAGTGGACAATTAATAGGAGAGTTATGCCATTATTAAGAATGTATGCATGTATATGTATGTGTTTATATGTATGCAAGTATGTGTTTTATGGATGCATGTATGTGGTTTGGAGGGCATTTTTGGAAGAAATGTTTTAACATACAAACACACTTTTATAATAATATTAGATATAGTAATATTAATCTAAATTTTTAGCAATTTTTTATCAAAAAAAGGAAAAACAAACAAACAACCGGCCCGGCCCGGGTCCGGGTCATGGGTTTTGCTCGGCCTGAACCCGATACGTATATGAAAATTTATTACAAATTATCGTATTTGATAGCTTTTGGTTAATGATATGATGGTTGTATTTTAGCCCCCACTTGAGAAAAAAACCTATCTCCGGACCATCGTAGGGTGATAGTTAGCTCTCTACAGATCCGATGGCCTTTAAGCTAATTAACATGTTAATGAAGCATAGACTTTCAAAATAATTTTCATAAAATATATATATCAGATATTTTTCAATAAGTTAGGTGTTACATGAGATAAAAACAAACAGTAAATAGGGACGCAAAGTTCTTGTGTCTCATATGCACACACATATTGTTATTGTGTTTTAGAACCATTTATCTCAATCGCCTATGCATATTAGTATAGTAAACATGTATTTTGTTTTTATGAAATATGTACATTTTAGTGCACGTAATGCGTGCACGACACATAAATGTGCAGGAATTTCAGTTTGTTTTTTGCAAGATGAGCATTTACATTATTTCTTCCAAGCATTAGGATATTTCCATTATTTTCACGCAAATGTAAGGTTGGTTTTTGTATTTATCAATTTTACTTAAATATTACGAACTACTATTTTTTTATCACATTTTAGTCAAGATTTATTAAGCATAAACTATCAAACCGCTTAAGGAAAGTATAACCTATCAAATTATTATCCAAGTAAAATTAACATTCATGAAAAGAATAACGACTGGATATTAATTCTAGAATTCATAAGCATAACCTATCAAATCACTCAAGATAAACATAGATTATCAAATTCTTCTTTTACT